TTCATTGAGCTCATCAACTGCACGGTCCGCCGCCATTGCAATGCATGCCAGATAGAAATAAACATATCAAATAACACGACTTTACTCGAACAAGCTGTCAACAGGTCCGTCCATGGGGAGTTAGATCGCCAGATAAACATGTTTTGGACGCAGTATGGTGTCTTCTTTTTCGCGCGAAAACAGCCTTGGAAACGAAAATTCTCTCGCTCATATCTCGTTTAATTTTTGTTATATCGACCTTAAATTTTGCATGCAGATCCCTATTGCCATCGTCTTTGAACTGAGAAAAAATGACGGCGATCGGATATTGTTAGGCTATTCTGAAGTCTGTGTCATACGACTACCTCCTCAAAATACAACGTAGGCAATTCCAATCTTTAGTTATGTTGTACAAATGCTTTTACGACAAGGGGGCACCTTATATCAGTGAATTTTTTAATTTTAAGGATGTACCGTACAATTCACGTGGGCTTAACACAAGGCTAGATTTACCTCCATTTAATCTGGAGTTTATACATCCATCCTTTACATTTTTAGCCAGCAAACTTTGGAATGCGTTATCTCCAAAAGTCAGAGAATCACAAGCCATTGCGTCGTTTAAGCGATCTCTTAAAGCTCAGATGGCTTAAAGTGTAGGGATTATAAATTCTGTTACAAGCTTTAGTTTTAGATTCTGCTTTTAACCATTTTGTAGATCTATTTATTGCCCCCGCAGGGATTTCGCCCGAAAGGCGAAATCCCGAGGGGGCACTCTAGTAACTCGCGCGTATATTAAGGAAAGTACTTACAGTTGAAATATACAGTCATACAGTCAATATAGAAAAAATCTCGATTTGCTTGAACAGGGGCCGCGAGGAATCGGTAGGTAATGATGACGTTTCTATTGTTTGCGCCCGCAAGTACGAAATGGTTAGGATGTCGACGTAAAGACAAAATCCCGAAGGGACCGCTCAGGTAGATTTTGTGACGTTTACGCTTTCCCCTTTCTGTCAGCAAATAAGCAGAAAAAGAGTGCTGCATAGCCTGAAGCTTGTTTACTGGGCCTAATTTCAGTAAACCCAAACACATACAAGTTTAGAGTAAAATGGCTATGAACAAAGGCCTTTAGCCGCTTTAATTTAATCCCAATTTTCATTTAAGAATAAAATTTACAACAGATAACTTTTTCGCGGCCCAGTAAAGGTGAGGGCCCCAAAAAATACGCCAGGAATATACTACGATCCACATCAAAGCCAAGAAGACACAAAGGGAGAGGGTTGGGAGGGATGAAAAAATCACTTCTTCTCCCAGCGAGTAACCAAAATGAATGACACAACAGCGGTTGACAGCTTCCGATGTCACGCACCCTCATAGGGGGTGTCAACTTATTGAATACCCTATGACCTCTTGGCATATCCCGGATGTGTCACGAAATAAGTAACGTGCAATTTACAAACAATGACAACCAGGAGAAAGCATAAAAATCCTATTCGCAAGCAAATATACCATTTATTGTGCAGTCATACTTCGATACTCTTTTGCGTTACGTAGTGACATTCTGTGGAGCAGTTGTTTTGAAAGTTATGGACCAAAAGACTCTCGTTAAGCGCAGATGAGGTTATAAGGTGCGTTTAACTGTGTATATATAGGGACTTGGAGAGTTTGCCAGACACGAGTTCACAAATGTTTGATTTATATTGGAAACCTTGCCAGACACTCTTTCTCTCTCTTTGACCGGAATAAGACTCATCCCCAAACAAGCCAGACGAGTGAACAACGGCTAGCTAATCACTAGCAGAACTATGGACGATTTCAGAAATTCGCCGACAATCAAATTCTGTACTGACTTATTCCCTGCTCACAGATGTCCTTCCGTTATAAAGACTAGAATGCGCCAGCGTGAATCGATCAAACGTCCTTTTAATTTCTAAGGCTTACTTTCCGGCAAATAAAATGAACTGAATGTAAAAAGTGAAAGAGAAATAGCGAAAAATTCAACTTCTAATTAAATCTTTTGTTATGGTTTAGAATAAACTATTCTCGAAACCGAGAATGTTTTGATCAAAGCTGTGTAAATCGAGCTGAAACTGTGCATGGAACCTTGCGTTTCCTGTATTTATCTCACCTATTGTATGGAATATGTGTGAAAATGTTCATTATGAATCGGTATATTTCAAAGAGCTACACAACGAGCTAGAATACTATTGACCGACAATATACAGAACGCGGGGGGCAGCTGTAGTGTCAACTATTACTAGTAGTAAGTATTTTAATAGTAGTAATGTATAGGTTACTAGTATACTTTTACACTTTTTTTAAATTTGCGCACACGTACACGTTTCAACGAGAACTTTGGTGCTCCTGGGTGTTACGTGTCTAAATGAAGGATTTGATTTTGATCATGTCGGCATGAAGAATACTTCGGCCAAGTATGTACACCTGTTCGCACTGCCACGAAGAGTAGAACAGAAACATATCCACTGATGGATGACGATCCACTTTCAAGATCGCCTACTTACTCGTTTTCTCTGTCTTTCTCCTTCTCTATATTCTAAATATGTGGACATGGCAATATAGATTATCCGATTTGGAAAAATGGGACCCGGTTTCCCAGAAAACTGTAAATCCGATTAAAATGACAAAACGGATGCGAAACAAATTTCCGCTTTCCGCGTTAGTTTTCTTTTAAAGAATATTGAATTTTCTCAGGTCTACGCGTAAAGTTCTGAGACCTGCACGGTTTAAAGACTTTCAAATTTTTATGTGACAAAGGACTTTAGGCACTAAATGATAAATTAGCCTACCACCCACCCCACCCCCCACCTTACCCACTATTTTATTGGACTTGGGAACTCTTTCATTAGGGATTTCATACCACACCTGTAGTGCCACAAAGGTTGCTAAATAAATCTACTGTGTTTTTTTTACAAAGACAAAGGATTTTAGGCACTGAAGTGATAAATTAGCGTCTTTTTCAAGTGTTGCCTCGTTGAAGACGTTTAGGGCTGCCTTTTTTACATTAATTCTCCAAGAGTTCCTTTTTTCTGAGGAAAATGCTCTGAAATGAGCCGAGAGGTTAGCGAATAGTAGCTCATAGTGGTTTGAACAAGTTTCAGTTATCGAACAGAGAGAATGTGTTAAATAACTTCTGTAAATTTGCGCCTTTGCGGGGTACAACGCTTTCATAAACCGAAGGAAAAATCCGGGCTGAAACAAAATAAGACAACGAAAAGGTAGTTGTGATTGTCCTCAGGAAACGGAGCTTAATTCATGTTCTGATTCCTTTTGGACGATGTTCGTATCATGAAGGATTGTCGATACTCAATTGAAAATCATAAGCCTCGGTGAAGCTTTGTTCAATACAAGGAACACAGCATTTGACGAGGTGTTTCCAAATTAACGTGTTTTACCATCTTATTTTTAGATTGCAGCTTTTAAAAGGAAATGGAAAAGACCTTACTCGCGAGTAAAGAGATTCATCTAGATAAAAAGAACTGGAGATGCACTGACAGCAAGGGAAACTGTTCGTATGTGAATGGTGATTTGACCGTAACTCTTTAAATAACAATTTGACGTAACATGTTAAAATAAATTACTAGTTATTTGCTGAAAAACAAAATTTACCTTCTTGCAACAGATGTACGAACCTTGACTCGCAAAATTCTGCGTAGCTTTTATGCAGCGTCTGGTAGGAGTTGTCCGATTTCCTTGGTCGCTGCTAGATATATAATGGTTCCCTCAAATCACTTGAAACTTGATGACGTTGCCTTGAACGTACAAAACAGGAAAAAACTGTTTCGCGGAACTTAACAGCTGATCAAAGCGTCACCCGGCTTAATTTAACGCCTTTCCCTGAAAGCTTGATTTGCTTCCAAAAATTTCTGTTTTTATCAGCATTACAGTTTGGAATTTAATTGAATTTTCCCACCTTTCAAAGTTAAAGATTTGTGAAAAGTGGTGGGAGTGGTTCAGGGTTACCCTAGCACTCGCGTATTTCTTCTCTTTTCGCACGACGTGTTTACAAGGCAGGTAGGGTTACCCTAGCAACAGGGTAACCCTACCTGCCTTGTAAACGCTCAGCTAGGGATAACTCACCTACCCGGGTGAACTTTCCGCCGTCATGCGTCACCAGTACGTAATCGTGCCAATTTGAACGGTATGATGCACATGCGCATTAGATACCATTTCTTAGCTGATTTGCATGTCTCAAGACACGCACGTGAAACAGAACCGGAATACCCTAAACAAAACCTAGAAGAGTTAAACAAGTTACAAGCCGAAATCGTGCCGACTTAGGCAACTCAGAGATGGCTCAAGAAGCGACGCCATGGTGGTTCTCAAAGACGTTCTTCCACTTTCAACTAAGTTTGTTACATCTGTGAACAATTTTTTCGATTGGTATGAAGGCCTAGAGTTTCAGCAGTGGCGCAATAAAATACCCTGGATTCTGCAAAAGACGGTTGGTTACAGACAACTCAGTGAAATGCTCTTGCAAAGGTATGAAGCCACTCTCGCTCCGCTCAAGAAGAGACAGGACCAAGCACGGCTTCTCGTAACAGAATTGGAGGGTCTTAAAAGAAGCTATGAAAGGAAAAAGAGAGAATTTGAAGACGCCGCAAGTGCCAAGCGAGGCTGGGCCATTGGACTCGCTTTTGTTCCGTTTGTAAACTTGGTAGCATCGCCTGCAGTAGCATGTTTCGCGGAGTCCGATATTGAAGAAGCATCCAGACAAAGTGCCTTGGCAGTGGTTCAAAAAGATGCTGCAAGAAAAGTCAGTGGAAAGTTGATCCCTGCACTGCACGACTTTGTCGCTTGCGTCACAAAAGCAGCAGGTTTCTTCTCCGTAATGGAACAGGAATTTCGAAAGTTTGGAGCTAAAGCTGAAAAAGGAAACGATACGCGCAAGTTTCTGGGCGTATGGAAAAGCCGCAATCCGGAACCGGAAGCGGAGCCGGAAACGGAACCGGAACCGGAACCGGAACGCGAACCTAAGAAATAAAAACTGGAGACGTTTCTATCTTGAAAGTATCACTAACAATCACTGCTCGATCAAGACTTTTCATCCCCACATTATATTTATTTATTGTTATTATATTTTTTACTGTCGCATTTTTTGCGTACGGTGCAAAATTTTTCTTCGAGAATTTCGTATACGCGTGAGCGTTGCAATAGGGATCATGATTGACATGAGTACTCCTCCTCCATTTGCCGCCTTTCCCTCACAATGGATGAAACACGGATCCCGTTTAAGAAAAGGTACGAGTAAGAATATAAAAGTTTTCATTCTTTTCCGCTTTACTGAGTTTGAAAAAATGTTACCATTTTGCAAAAACATATCTGTTTTCGTTTACAGATCGCGACAGAGCGACGAATCGATTACAATGTGCATACGCAGGAGCGGATCTGGGGGGAGGGTGCAAGGGGTGCGCAACCCCCGCCCCCCCGAGATGACCTGCGGTTTTCTAATACAAGTGGTATTCGGCAAAAAAAAAGAAGGGGTTTATTGGTATTGAAGTAGAGCAAGAGACGAGTGCACCCCCTCCTAAAAAGAATCCTGGATCCGCCCCGGGTACGTATGAAAATGTGAAGTTGTTGTGCCTTGAATTTATGCTCGAGTCTGCGGCGGAACAGCATGGGCTGACTCTGAGGAGTACGTTTTGAGGTATTCCGTTCATTCCGGTTGGTACGAACCAAACGGTAGGTTGCTTACCATTAACCAATTTCTCGGTTCCTTCTCTGTTCCAGACTCACGCAACACAAATTCTCCCTTTTTTTGGATTCAACCCGTAACGGATGTGGTATTTCCGTGGTAAACTGCTAAATCGCTTACCATTTTGCTTTCGACACCCCAACCGGATTTTTCTGTAAAATGGTAAGCACCCCTGGTTTCAGTGCTTCCCAGTTTAACCCGGTCTCAATTTAAGTTCCGGTTCCGGTTCCGTTTCCGGCTCCGGTTCCGTATTCCGGATTCCGGCTTTTCCATACGCCCGTTTTTAAATACGGCCCTACCGGAAGGTGCAGAGGGACTTGTCGTTGATGGAAGGAAGTCGCATGTCATGCACATTGAAAAAATAGCCAAGAAAATCGCAACGGGCATTGGAGTAATTAAACGTTGTAGGCCTTTTGTTAATCGAACCACATTGGAGTCCGTTTTCAATGCCTTAGTTCAACCGTACTTTAATTACTGCAGCGAGGTCTGGGGGCATTGTAACAAAAGTCTTTCGAATAAGCTCCAAAAGTTGCAAAACCGGGCTGCCCGTATTCTAACCTTCTCCAGTTATGACACAAGCGCTGATCCTCTTCTTGAGCAACTCAACTGGAAACGGTTGGATACTCAGCGACAAATACAAGTGGCCACCATGGTCTATAAATCTATACATGGTCTTGCGCCCGACTATCTTGGTTCTCTTTTCACTAAATATAATCCACCTTATAATTTAAGGAACTCTGAAAACAAACTAGCTGTTCCATTGCCCCGCACCAATTTCTTGAAAAATAGCTTTAGCTATAATGGTGCGGTTATCTGGAACAGCTTGTCCCCTGAATTGCGGCAAGCAAAATCACTTAAATCTTTTCGAAATGGTTGTCGCGATTTCTTTGACTGAATCGATAAAACGCACACGGCATCTATGTAAAGCAGAATTTCTTTATTTTCTTTATCTTTACTATTTAAATTTTTAGATCATGTTTATATAGATTAAAGTAGATTGTAATTTTTTATTATTATTATTTTATCTGATAGATTTACCGTGTTTAAATAAAAATAAAGTTCAAGTTCAAAGTTCAAGCTACGTTTTCCCAAACAAGGCTTCTCAGACAATTCACAAGTCACATTAGCTGGACGTCCGCAATGGAAAGATTACAGGTGGACCTTCAATCAGTAGTAGCTTGCTGCATGTAGTTGGCAATGTCTCGCAACAAACGACTTATAGACTTATTGTGTGGGAAATTTAACACAATTTTCAAAACTCTGAAATATGTTTATAGAGTAGAAGTAAGTGTGAAACTGGTTATTTACTTCTGGGAAAGAATTCACAAGTTTCGCGTGAATTGTCTTCGAGACGCGACGGATGTAAGCTCCGCCCACTCACTACTCACGCGATATTTCTCTTCTGCCTGATCCATCAGTTTTTCTCTCATACTTTTAGGGTCTCCACAAATGTTCACTTTGCTTCAAGTTGGAAAATTTTGTACGCGAAATTTGAGCAGTAAAATTACTATGAGCTGTTCAATTTTAACTTCCAGTTCGTGAAGGCATCTTGGGCGCTATTTCCGACATCACATAAGTCTTAACCTCTTTGTAGACTTTGTACCTTTTTCAGAACGGTCATTATAAAACATAGACTGCGGACTGCGGACTGCGGACTACGGACTGCGGACTGGGTATAAAATATGGACTAGGTATAAAACGCGGACTGGAAAACACGGACTGGGTATAAAACACGGACAAGGTATAAAACGCAGACTTCGGACTGCGGACTGGGTATAAAATACGGACTACGGACTACTTTGGTAACAACGGTGCTAATTGGTTCTAGGTAAGGAAAAATATGATCAAAAGATCGCTAAATAGCAAGAAACGTGAGTTAAAGTTGTAAATACTCTTATAAATCAGTCTTGGTGATTTATCCGCTCAGTTCTCTGAATAATGAGCCGGATCAAAATGCTATTTTCTTCACCAATTTCATTAGACCTTGTCTCCGTCTCTAACAATAATGAAAGGGGTCAGGATCAGGGGTGGTACTCCCTTATATAATGGAAGGGTAGGAGTTTGGGCCTTTTTGGTCTGAAAACAATTTGCCCATTTCGGTGGGGAATCGGGTATGGTTTTCGAGGGAACTACGGGAGTGTACATGAATGGACGTATTTATCGTTTCAATTCCAAATGAATAACAACGAAATAGAAATGTGCGAATTCGAAATGCATTTGGAGAATTTTTTTGTTTCCGCACTAACTTGGTAATGATGAGATAGTTGGCTCCGCTAAATTGAGAAAGCGAAAACACGAAAATAAAACGGGAGAAAACTGGGGAGTCTCCCCAACTGTCTGAGAGCCTGGAACAGGCTAAATTAGGCCAGGTCCGAGAATGGGTACGGATTTTAGAGATCTGGTCTGCAAACGGGTGTGGAAAATGACATTTTTAGTCTGCAATAAGGTCAGGATTCGGAGAACCTGGCACCACACCCCCACCAAGAATTCCCAGTAGTACCACTCTCCGGGGATCAGGAGCAGGGTGTAAATCATGTCATCATGATCATCGCTAAGAATATAACGTTGGAAGACTCGTTTCGGTTATTATTCACGTATGTGAGTAATCCCTCCCCCTAAATACTGCTTTTGTGCATCGCGGAATGCCCCTACACTGGACCTTCTCGTCTGAGTTCTTCATTCAGTCCTCATATTCCCAAGGCTTTATTTGAAACGGAATTGTGGCATCCGATCAGAAATTTAGTGATCTGACTAACACCAATACCATTTTTTTAAATTTGGTGCTTCTTATTGGTTTAAAACTACAAATTGAAATCTCTGCTAACTCCCTCTTTTTATAAAATTCAGAGTTTAATTTTAGTTGCCTTGAGTACCGGGCATGACCTTCCTTCTCCGAGGGAAGAATAGACTACGTGAACAGCCAAGGGAATGTTAAAGCTGGGACTACTGTTTTTGCTATTCCGCTTTCCATTTCTCTCAGTTTTACCTTTCTAAAGTCGTTTTTATATACATAGTCCGTAGTCCGCATTTTATACCTGGTCCGTGTTTTATACTCAGTCCGGAGTCCCGTTTTATACCAAGTCTGTATTTTATACCTAGTCCGCAGTTCGTGGTCCGCAGTCCACGGTCCATATTTTGTACTGACCATTTTTCAGAATAATCAAGGCCTCTGTTTTCATCTGAACATACTTCGCGTCAATATTATCACCTTTAAAGTATGTGAAATGCGTTCGAATGAAATGCAGCAATAACAAAATGGAGCAAAAAAGACTGAGCTGTGCTAAATCGCTTTGTTGAACTAAAAGTCGCGTGATTCTGCGTAAATTCCATTTTATGTATTTCCTTCGTCATTTACCTATTTACCTAAGCGTCGTAATCAAATCCTCAAATCAGCATGATTCTATTTACCTACAACTAATCACGATCAATAAAAACACAGGAAGTACGTATCGCATAACACAAAGCTAACATTGTAAAAAGTAGTTTTCCGCGCCAGTTTTTAGTTCTTTCCTCTAAGGGTCGCGGTTGGTTTTCTCAATCAGTAATCGCCGTGTAGAGGTTTGTTATCTATTTTTTATCTTCTTAGTGTTTAATGCATTTCAAACAAACTGAAGATCAATTTTTGTGAGTAGTATGTCTCTTGGTCGCACTCAATTCTCCGTCCGAAACAGTGAATTATCTCAGGAGTAGTTATGCATCAGTCAATTCCACCTGCGCCCAGGCCCCCCCCGGGCTACTGCGGGGCATTTGCACGCCTTGTCAGTCCCGGGGGCGGGGCATTTGCAAATTTTGCACTGCCCGGGGGCCGGGCATTCGCCAACCCCGGGGCCATTCCCGAGGTTTTGACACGCACGCGGTTTCCTATCAGAATATAACTACACAGAAGGTTTTACTGGAAAAAAAGCAGATTGGCTCATCTATCAAGGACAGGAATAAATTGAAGAGGGTTATAAAGGCATCTTCTCGATTTTATGCATGCGTTTCCTTGCTTATCAAGCCAGAATTACATAGCGAAATTGGAGCTATCGATGTGAATGAACGTTTTTTGGTCATTGTATCAAATTTCTGTTCATATTATTTGAAGAACATCCCTTCACATTTATAAAACTATTCATAACATATAACTTTACAGCGCTCTATTAATTTTAATGTCAATAATTTTATATCAGTTCTAAAACCATACACTGGTGCATGTCATCGCGGCGTGAAGTCTTAGTTAGAATCCTAGCGTTATTACAAAGGAAGACGTTAATTGAAACGAAAAGTCGCACATTAAAATGCTTAAAATGGCACTATTAAACTGTGTGATATCGCACAGTCTAATAGATCGATCAATAAAAAATGTTGCAGCGTTGACGGAGGACGGGGTATTTGCCCTCTTTAACCGTCCCCACCCCGGGGGCTTTGACCGCTCAAGAGTCCCCACCCCCGGGAATTTGCCATCCAAGGCAAAAAAAATGCTAATGCCCGGGGGTCAGCCCGGGGGGGTGCTGGGCGCAGGTGGAATTGACTGGTGCATTATTTGATAGAGTCGCACCCAGTTACTTATAAACCCCAGCCAATTCATTTCGATTTCATCCAAAGCGATAGTCCTCTCGTTCACATCGGTTTTTTCTCTTCTAATATCATAGGTGACGAATTACTCCTTGATTTAGGCGCGAAATTTCAGTGATAATCTGTAATTGTCTTAGTGTCAAGATGGCGACGACGATGAAGATGCCAGGGCATAAAAAGACGCTTTAGAAAACCTGAACACAAGAAAGAGCACATCAAGAAGGATTCTAACAGGTATTTTGTCGAAAAAGTCTGAACTTAAGCCAAATTTAAGCTCTAAACGTTCGAGAGAGTAGATTTCTCGATCGATATGATCCAGCCAGGATAAACATGTCAAAAATCCAAGATTGCTAACGTAATTCGTCACCTGTGATATTAATAGGTAATCAAATGGTATACTCGTGAAATTAGGGAATAATTTCACTTGCGTTTTGTCCAAATCCTTGGACAAAACGCGCGTGAACTTATTCCTAATTTATTCCCTAATTTCACTCGTCACCATTTGATACACATACTAATTTTGATTTCTTCTTTACGATTTTATAATTTACTTCAAGTGAAACTGAGGAATTTGCTAACAAGTCGGACTCCCCATGAAGGAAGTCGTGAAGGTTTTGGCGATGGCGTCGTGTCTTGACCTTATCGTTTAACTAGATCTCAATTTCTTCTTCTGAACACACAGCACCGTCTTTAAACAGATCTAGATGTAATAGCATGAACTCTAGATGGATGTACTCTAAATTGGTTATTGCTTATAAATTAAATGTGCCACGGTGGTTTTGGGAAGTCCTTATAGTCAACACAATTTCCCTCTACGGGAAATGCCGAATCTTCACTGAATCTTCTTCAATCATAATCAATTATTTCTTTTATAGCAGAATCGCGTTACATGACTCCTAGGAAGGACCCGCTCTGAGCCTCGTTTTCTCTGACGACTTCCTCCAAGAGTTACTTTTTTAGTAAAAGGTTTGTTTTACATTTTTCTACTTTTATTTTTACCCATTTAGAGCTATTTTGTTTTGAGTGCCGGAGTTGTTTTTAAGCAGTGTATTCGTGCGATCTCTTGCAAGAGAACTGCAAGAGGATTGGTTTTAAACAGGAAGCTGCAACGCGCGTATTGTTGTTCCACCTGACACTAAGAGAATCAAATCTCCCGATTTTCAAATTGTGGTCATTTTACATGATTTTTTATTCAAAGATAAAAAGTTATTCATCTTATCTCAACTCCGCGTGCCACACCTGACACAACTTAGAGACGCGTGTACCTAGTAGAGACATTGCAACTTCCTATAAACAGGCTTCGTAAATTTGAACAGCTGAAACCGCGGTGTTCCTCTCTTCTTTTTTTTTTATTCTGTAATCATCTGCACTTGGAAAGAGGTTTGTAATTTTACATTACACATTCTTACTAGGTTTTTTATCACAGAGGATAATTTAACCAGACCAGGGCTTCTCTAAAGTCATGTCAGACTGCCACTGATTTCGACGTCATATGATCTCGTTTTAAGCTTGCTTTCCACTTGGTTAGTGTAAAAGACCAAAGGGTGTTTTTTCTGTTATACAGTAACCAGGCAGCCAGTATCTAGAAGCCAGTATAAAATTAACCTGAGATCAGGCGTATTTTATTATTTTTTTTTTTGCTTCTTTGCTTTTTTGGCTCGAGAGGGAAAAAAATAGCGAAAACAGATTACATTGCAGAGATAAAGGGAGAGGGCATGATCGCAGGCTAGTATAAAATAAGGTTTCCATTCCTCTGCGGTCATGTCTTCTGAAAACTGGGCGGATCTTTCAGATCTTTAATAATTGACTCTTAATGTAAAATAGTTTAATATAAAATAGTTAGTCGTCTCTATTTTGGTAGTCTCAGTATTACCTGCTCCTAGCAAAAACGGACTACAGTACTCTAGGTGCATGAGAGAGAACATAAGCCCTGTAGAGACGAACTAATACGTCCTTAGAAAGGAACATATGTATTCTCCGCAGGGCCGAAGCCTTTTCGCAGGCCATATTCAGCTGTTCCTTTATGTGCGTTTTAAATGTTAATTTACTGTCTAAGACCACTCCTAGGATTTTAAGTGCATCTTTCGTATCAACATAAGAACAATTAAGATGGAATTCGTACTCGTATGATGACGGCCCAATGGCAATAGCTTGCGTTTTAGCGGCGTTAATCTGATGACTCCGGTATATTGTAGACATGGCCTAAGAGAGCGGGGAAAATGGTTGGTCGATTTTACCACATGCTGATGCTTCGCTTCCCGGCCAATATTCGATTTAATATAAACAATTGCTTTTATCATGTTGGAAGACGTCTGCTTTATCGTCACCGCCCCACTGTAAGAAGAGGCTTTAGGAATTCACCTCCAGGCTTTCAGACTGTTTGATCACAGTTTTTAAGAGTATACACAGTGGTTGCATCTTTGGGCGATGCCAAAATTGAAATGACTTTTCAGTGGCTCTGAGGCAAGGAAAAGAGCACAGGGCATACGTATATATATATGTCGGAAACTGTTGTCAGTAATATTTGATTATTATCGCTTTTTCAATTAGTGCTTTAAGTCTGTCAAGAGCTCTATTAGTGAGACACGCAAGTTGTAGTCAACGCGAGAATCTCGTGACACCACAATCTCAATCAAACATTCCGGTATAGGGCGTATTGACAGGTTTTCTGATAGATAAGTGAAACAATGTATGTGCGGTATTATATATCTTGAGAGAACAAATTTTACTTTAGTGTGTGAGAGAGATCTTTAGGTCGTGTAATAACCAATAAATTAGAAACCGAGAATATAGTGTGCTTTCCATTTCCAAAATATAGAAATAAAAAAAATGAGATACACATTCACACACAGAAACTAAAACTGTACTTTATACTAAACATACCAAACAGACTAAAAATCCCAAACAAACGCAAATTTCTTTTAATATTCAGATTATGTATTTTTTTTATCTTGAAGCTATATACAGCAGCACAGTTCACAACTGATCGCGATGAGTCGAATGCAAGGTTAGTGCTGTTGTGCTTTTTAACAGTTCCTTACTTAGTCCTTTCCAGGGCGTGAATTTAGGTCAAATCACTACTCTGAATTTGCTGCCATTGCCTTAATTTTCTGATTTCATTCGAAGTGGTATGGACCAAGGTTTACTTATACTGGCGCTGTGTTTATTGACTTGCGCAAAGCGTTTGGTTCTGTTCATCACGATCTATTGATAAACAAGCTAGAATCGTATGGACTTAGGAACACACTGAACTGGATTGTTTCCAAAGCTATTTATCTGATAGCAAGCAAGTTGTTAGCATTGGCAAAGAGACCTCTCATTATTGCTCAATTACGTTTGGAGTTCCTCAAGGGTTCAATTTTAGGTCCCTTATTGTTTGTTTTGTTTACAAACGATCTCTCAAAGGTCTTAACTCAATGTCAAATATTGATGTATGCTGATGACACGGTTATGTATTTTAGCGCCATCGATACTCAAGTAATAACTTACGGTATATCTGTGACATGTGTTTATATGACATATTATAGCTATATTTATTTGTACATAATGATCATTATTACTTCTATTCCATTTTAGTTTATTATATAAGACCTCTATGGTAGCAGTTTTTGAGAATTACAAAAACTGAAGAGTCACTCTATTGAAATAAAGGTTTCTATCTATCTTGTTGACTCGGATCTTCCCTTTCTTCTATTTTTATTTATTTACATTCGATTACATAATGTATGGCTTGCTTATGAGCCATAAGCCTAATCAATCTACACCTATAACCTATAATGTAAATTTGTGACCTATTTCTGATCTGATGTCATCGATTTATCACAATCGTTTATAAACCTAGCAAGTCGGGCCCCATAGTGCAGCGCTAAGACCTTTTTAGGTTTTTGAAAACGCGAAATTAAAACATAACAATAGTCGTTTGCGATAACATAAAGAAAGGTTTTACTCTCCACATTATTGCTGATTATTGAGACTGAAACTACTTATTCAGCAGACTTCGCACACATTTTTTACATTTGTTTTAGCTGATATTGGAAGTTGCGCAAATTCAATGACCTGACCGAGATGCGAAGACGCCCCTTTACTGACTCCAAAACGACAACTGAGTTGTTCCCCAGCGTAAATAATTTGGTCCTCTCTCATTCAAATTAACCTATTAAATCAATGCAAGCTAATTGCTTTTTCCTTTTTAGCAAGCAAACACCTACGACAACACATGACCACGGCCCTCAGGAAAGACGTGGTTGATGGTCCTTCTTTCAGCCAAGACTTGTTTAATAATGAAGAAATTGTGAAGATGCGAGATGCTGCTGTAAAGACGGAGTTTATCAAAGGGATGGTTTCGGGAACTCTGAACCCAAATTATTATGGAGGCTATATGGTGCAAGATGCTGCCTACTGCTTTGATGCTGTGAAAGTGTTTGAAGCGGCTGCTAAGGAAATGAAAGAACAAGGAATGATTGAATTTTCAGAGATCTACCAGTCACAGTCAACGAGTTTGAAGGAATACAATAAGGAATTTGCTACGACCTGGCATCTACAGAATACCAAAAGCATAGTTATGGGTCCTGCAGCAAAGACCTACGTGGAATATGAGGGCAGAGTAAGCCGTGATTATCCCAAGTTCCTAGCCATTGCCATGCTACCGTGCCATATGCTTTGGCCTTGGATTGCCAATCAGTTCATTGATTTTGTTGCCAAGTCGAATCCGTACTACAAAGGCTGGTTTGAAGAAAACGAGACCGAGCCAAATCACAAAGGTCACCTGGAGAAGTTTGTTGATTCTCATTTCGGCCCTAAGGAAAAGAAGAAGGCTCTTACTATCTTCCGCGATGGAATGATTAACGAGTTAAATTTTTTTCGAGATGCTTGTTTAGAAAAGCTTATTTGACTACCCCGTCGATTTTGTCTCAGTGACTTTACGTTGCATTTTTATGAATTCAAATACGTTGTTGTACTACCAAGTAATGACACAACAGTGTGAATTCCTAACGCCTCATTATTCAATTAGAGATGAGATATACATGTATCATTGATCTGCATGGGCATACGCCTAGGCGAAATTTTAATTGGGACAGTGAGAGAAGGCTTGCAAGCATAATATATAGGATAAGAAATTGTATGAATAAGGATTAGAATAAACAGATACTATTAGTCTATTTATTTATTTATTTATTTACCAGCTTTTCTGGACACAGGCCTGTCCAGAGGGAATGTGCACGAACGGGACTCATAGTTCCCATGCAAGGTGCCATCTCTCCCCAATCCCACAACCCGTAAAGGCTGGCCACACCACTGGGGACTAAGACCCCTACTCTTTTCGAATAGTGATGTACGTTCTTTTACGTCCGACAAGAACAAATCAGTGAGAGTGCTATGAGACGGGACCTACGGTTTTTCGTCCTTATCCGAGAAGACTGGAAAGTCTAACTGCATTTGCAAATGTCATTACAAAGGCAGCACTTTCTTCTCAGTTATTTAAAGACCCTGAACGTTGGCCCGGCCGGGGTTTGAACCCGCGACCTCGCGCTCGGAAGACCGGCGCTCTCCCAGCAAAAGTAGTCACCTCTTTCTGTGAAATTTTAGTGCAATTTAAGCGTTTGTACATCATTTGGCCAAATACCAGTTAACTACTATTTTTTTGGTCAATTATCAATCAACTGCTAACCCCAATGGCACCCTCCTAAAACAGCAGGAAAAACAGAGGATTGGTACCAGAGGAAGATTTACTAAACAGTACATTCCATATCATGAGATAGTGACAGCCGAGAAAGCAACAGCTTAGCTCTGGATTTTATTTGACGACTCAGCAAAAATTAGAAAGAACAATCAAAGCCTAATGAATGCCTCCACTTGTGCCTTCATCGCGCCCACGAAAATCATACCAGATAGTGTCTGTTCACACACAAGAACGGTTGTGGCGGCGCGATTTCTGTGGCGGAGCGAAGCTGCAGCAGTTCCCTTAAGCATCTCAGTCCGCTGTCAATTTCCAGCTTTGCAAGCGGTACAAAAGTACAGAGACAACAAGGGAGCGCTGGTACGAGTCTATTCTTGTCTTGTCGTTCCAGATGGTATTCAGTCTCTCTAGCGCTTTTTTTCTGTGCAATTCTGGACAGTGCGTTACAGACGTCAGGCTTAAAGAGACTCGTTTAACCAGATAATCAGAACTCACTTCTTGAAAATGACGCTTGCATTCTTCAATCGTTTCGATGTAAATCACGAGAAACGTATATATCAGTTGAGGGACAATATGCGCGTAATTATAATAAGGCCAAAGGCTGGCGAAAAACAATTATTAAAACGTGACAAGATATGACCCGATATGATAAGGTCAGTACAGACGATGTCATTGCCGTTTCCCATCGTTGCGCCCGACTGTTCACTAATAAAGCTTGTTTTTGTCATAGAATAAATCAAATAGTTGAGTTTGTTTTTCCCTGGCTAACGTCAAAATTTAGTGCGGCGAAAGGTTTCTTAAAAAACAGTTTTCGAGCCGAAAAAATCGCAACAGACAAACGGTTCTGCCGAACCAATCGTAAGTGAATCGTAAGTACATTTGAAGACTGACCTAGAGGCTACGAATTCCGGTTAAGAGGGGCTAAGACAATTCTCTTAATGACGGAGTCTTGCGTCACGGTTTTGCTGCTTTTTTTTCTTTTTCACCAACGATTATTAAAGCTGCAGTGTTATAAAACTGATACACTCTGAAAAAGTTTTGCTACAAAGATGTTTGTCAAATGACTCGCCAGGCCCAGCGTATGCTTCCCCTTGCCGTGCCTTTGTACGCTCCTCGTGCGCTATCGGGAAAGATCCAAAGAGGAAACGACTGCCAAAAAAGCCCGACCAGTCATCTTCGTGAATAGGGTAACCTTGGTGCCATTTGAAATCGAAACTCTAGATAAACGATAAGGATAGTGTATAAACAAAGTCATCGTTCTGGAAGGCTTTAGGAGAACCAAAACACTGCTAAAACATAATCAATACATAGGGAGAACAGCATTAACCACGAAAGTCAGTGACGGTAAGCTCGGAAAAGGATTTACTAATTCACCATTTGAAACATTTGGCCTTAAAATGGCCGTCAGTTTATTTCGATGCGATCGATGTACGCGTTCTGCTCTTGTCGTAGGTAAATGGTTACTTCCTTATTACCCATCGCTTTCAATTTAGTATAGCTGTAGTATGAACACCTCAGGAACAATATTATACTGTCATAGAATCACGCCAAATCACAATTTAATTGTTTGAGCTTTAGAAGTAGTTTAAAACCATAGCCTATTGAACATGTATTCACTATTCTGGATAATTGTGAGCCATCTGATTCGAAAAGGTGAGAAAGAGCGACGAGGTATTTAAAAGCTTTATTAAGCAATTCCCTTTTTCTATCCTGCTTTCGGTAATCGTGTTTTTCTGTTGCGTGAAGGGTACGCGCATCTCACTGACGAAAAGAATGAGTTGCCACGTATCAGGGTTATCACAGACGAGATAAATCTGAAAAGTTTTTTAATAAAAGAAGCAAGTGTGATGGAAGGAAACATAACTGGTCTCAATTAACCATACACATTCAAATTGTTATGTACTCAACAATTCAATTTTAACGCTATCTGTTTTGAATACGTGGGATGAGAAATCAAATGTATAAGTTGAAAAGTTGAAATGGTAGTTAATAGATTAAAGTAGGATAATTACGAATACAGGAATTTTTGTTGAGATAAGTGAGATGAATAGAGGAGCTTCTTGTCTGAATCTTGTCTGGAGAAGAAGATTGTGTTTCCAAAACAGTTTATATTTCGCAAGTAAATCGTGCAATCGTGTTTTCAAGTATGAATATTTTGAAATTGGTAATATAGTGCTAAACATCAATGAAGATTAATAGTGACGTTAAAAAAATGCTGTTTTGCTGATACGACTTTTAAATGCTTTGCAACCACGATCTACTGCCGAAAATGACTCACAGTTAAAATCATAGATACAAAGGATTCTAACCTACTGCTTACCACGAAATTGACATGAAGTGTTTATCAGTCTCCTCAAATCATGGTCATGATGTTTATTGCGTGGTAAAAAATGGCGTATCTAGTCGGAGAGCGCGAGCCCAAAGAGCAGGGGAAAGGCTAGATTGCGTAGCGCTTTGGAAATCCTGCTTTTACCCCATTCTTCAAAAGATGCTTCGATGAGTCTCTTAAAAGCTTTCCCTGGCCACGTATCGAATGTTTTAACTGTTTCATAAGCTTGCTCTCAGTGATAAAATATCAATATCAGCGCGGAAGTCCTAGGAATTACGTCACTTTAGTTACACGTAAATGGAATAATTTTATAAAATTGGTACATACATAATGTACTACCTCGAGTCCCCCCAATATCCCTCAAGAAGACGCCGGAGGTTGAAGTCGCAGGGTCGACAACTCGTTTTTTCGATTGAGCACCAATTACCACCACACGATTTGGTGCTAAATGGACTCATCTCGAGAAAAGGCTACCTGTAGCCTCTTATCTTGAACAAGCACGGCACAAATCATATATTTGTGGTCTAACTTTCTTTCTAAGTGTTTCCCTCAGAGATATGGGATTGCTTGACTTTATGCTTAATACGAAACGTGACAAGTGGTATAATTATTATAATTTTATTATCATTATTATTATAAATATAATCATTTAATATCAACATTATTATTTTTCATTCACCATTGCTTATATTTGGCGCTAGTGTCCGGCCACAAGTCAGTAGAGAAAAAAAAAATTGGAAGAAAAGCGTTCCCAGTCCTGCACAGTCCTTCTCCAAAAAGTGCAGTGTGCCTGGGTAGTCACTGACAACTAATCTTGTCAACAGCCATGCAAGAATTACCTCTCGTACCCTATTGGCTAAAACATTTATTCCCACGGGTTTTGAAGTCCGTGTGTTGAATTATTGACAATTTCGTAACTTCTTGTGTAGGAGGACGAGAATGTTGTGTCTCGGAGGAATACTTTTTGTGACGGAATTTAACTTACCGCGAAGAAAATTGCCTCCGCTAGCTGACAACATACTTCATACCGTAATCTTTTAAGTAGAGGTCTTTTGTTAACAGGGATTTACTTTTATTTGCCTACAAGACGAAGCTTCTAAGAACTGTAAACAAAGGAAGGTAAGAGAAATGTTGCGGAGTGCACTTTATATGAAGGCACTAATAATTTATAAGGTTTGTATCGAATATTAGATCAGCCACTAAAGCTAAAGCATCACTCATGTAAAACTCCTTTTCAAGACTTGAGCCGAAGTACATGGTTTTTGTTTTTGCAAGATTATTCTTTTGTTTGACCATTCTCCCCCTTTAAGAAAAAGAAATCAAAGTATATTTTTTTGAAAAGAACGAAGGATGAAAGTTCATCTAAATAATTAAACGACTTATAATTTTAGAGTTTGCTTCATTTCCCAACATTTTATTTTTCTGGTGATTTAATATATTTTTCTCATGAATAAAAGTGCTCAAAAAATGTTAACGGAGACTGAGAATAACCTTTTCGGCTCTTGACATCATTTCAAAATAAGAGAAAGTAAAGTTTCTGGTTAATGTGGTTGTAAATTTAATTGATTATTTTTAGGTGGGTATTTATTTACTAATTTCTTGTCGAGAGGAAAACAATTCAATCACAGTTTCGCAGTCTGATGTTGGATATTTCTGTCGATTCTAAATATATTTTCACCAATAGAACTTTTCTCCCTTTTTCATGGTAGACCTTATTTTATGCTTCGGCTGAGTCTTTTTTTATGCAACTTAGTGCAAGCAACGGGAAACTTGGATTGCCGTGCCTTGAAGCTCGAATCAATCTATCATTACTATTTAGGCAAAGCACCTGAGTTTTCTTTATGAACCTCCACTTTTTATTTGAAATTCATCTCAATAACAATAG